ATATATGTATGTATATACATATACCACAGCTTGTGCCTCTCCTGATTATGAGAGGATGAGGCAGACAAAACTGGCAAACCTGAAAATGAAGGGGGCCAAGGGAGTTGCGCTTCATTTTGGCGGATCAATCCTCCATATGGAGCACTATAGAAGGCTAGCAAGATATTATTAGATATTTAAACATTAATTAAATTTTTGAAGTAATTATTTAGTGCTAGCCATTTTTGTACGCTACATAGGCCAACGAGTTGAGTCGTGCCCCTTTCGTTGCGGAGCAGCATGTCTGAACTCACCGGCACTTGTGGATTGCTGTAAGTTTAAAATATTAAATTAAAGTTTATTTTGACTCTAACTGTTGAAAGTGTCAATTAAATGTTCGTTTTTATTATGCAATAACAGTTCGAGTAGCTCCGGTAGAGGCACTTGGTCATTCAGGCACATGCTAACGCCAATAGTAATGGTAGTCAGTCTACCACTTACCACTTCGTAGTTCGAATACAAACTTTGGACCAAGCGGCAGGGAGTAAGAAGGGGAGAATTTATGGCCTTGAAACGAAGAACATAAGCTTTGAAGTCAAACTCTCCGATGATCTCGTTCTTAGTTCCCTGAGCTCCTCATAGCCATACCAAGAGGCTCTCGTCAGGCAGGTGCTTGCAAAAAATGAAGAGATCCGTCAATTGTGCAAGTAAATGCTACAAGGTCAACATAGAGTGGAAGACTTTATAGCACGCATGGCGTTGACCTTAGCAGATAGTCGAGGCAAGCAGCCGGTGACATTTGGGGAGGAGGAGGAGGAGGAGACAGAGATGATTAGTTTTTTTTTTTAATGTTATCTTTTATTTGCAAGCATTATTTTAAATATTTATTGTGAAATTTTTTGGATTAACTTTACTATAATTAGTTGAAATGATTTGTGGCAGACTGACAGTATATTTCCTTATTAATGATATTATTTAGAGATTACATTTGTGATATTACTATGTTTAATGTGGTATGTAATGTGGAATATGTTTTTGTGCAGCTTGTGAAAATGTAATTGATATATATTTTTTTTTTTTTTTGCATCTGATTTGCGTCAAATTTTTGCCGTTCTACGTTTTTTTTTTTACACAAATAAGATGGTAATCCGACGCTAAGATTCATCATCGGTTATTTTCAGACGTAAATTTCGACAAACGTTACATATAAACAATTTTGAGGCAACAAGTGACAAATTATTTGCGTCGGATATGTTGACGTAAATTGGACAGAAATAAAATTACCGAACATTAATTTAACATCAAAAAAATTAGCACAAATCTAACACTAATCTTCAAACATCGTTAGATTTGCATCAGATTTGCGTCTATCTGACGCAAATATGCTAAAAACTTCTGTAGTGAAGGTAAAAAAAGAATCGGTAGAGATTACTCTCTCCTTAGCAGGCGGGAAAGCCTCAATATACAATAACTCAAGATGGCTTCTCCCTCCTCTTCGTTACAAAGAAAAAAATATTAAATAATTTAAGTACAGAAAAAGGACTGACCATGAAACGCCGATAAAAAACTTCAATGTCACAAATTTCAGATGATCCATAAAAGGATTTGGTTGTATGCCTCCTCTTTAATGATGATCAAGATACATGATAGATGCCCGTGAAGCTGGTAGATAACCCCGAAAAGTTAATCTCGATAACTAATACATGACAACTGACACTTCGACTGATAATGCTGACAAATCACCTTGGCAAGTCAACCTGGGCAGCTGGCAGCTACGTTTTGAAAAATATGAGCTTCACATACGAGTCGGAGCTGTTATCCTATGTATCAGCCCATACGAGCCACACGTTGGTGTGTGTGCGTGCGTGCACATATATTCTTTTATGGTGCATTGATTTGAATAAATAACATTAACTATTATATTCTTTTGTGAAGGCCGGAATATATAATTACTTAATGTGATCCCCATTGCTTGGGATGCCCGAGTAGCTAACAAATTATTATTAGTTTTTGCACCACACTTGAGATCATACTAGGCTCACCTTATATATCTATTGAGCGGTTATGCCCGTGGCGTGTTTCGGGCAATAGAGCGAAGGTGGGTTCTTTCAGAACTGTGCCACTAAAAGCCAAAGTCTGCTATGCTTTAAAATCAGCACAATTTAAGTCCTTGTTTCCTTAAAACAGAGACACTGACCAAAGAATTTTAGCTATAGAAAAGCTCCAGTGACATAATTTCCATGAAGTACATTTCAAAGCAAGGGAAAATTAAAAATAATAAAAAGTAAAACTAATTACCAATCAAATCACTACTCAAACAGTAATGAACCCTTTTTTTTCAAGAGCATTTCATCCCTTGCTCATGTATCTTTCTCTTTTATGATGGTCGGAAGCTATGATACGAGCTTCGGTCATCTCTCACATGCATATAATTCGAGGACCACACCCTACATTTGGGGGGAATCGAACCCCAGACCATGAGGACTTAAAACTGACAAGCAGATACCGAACTCCGCTTATTCACACACACACACAAATATTAAAGATTCACAAGACAATCGCGGCAATCATCACTCATATCATACGGCCTCCTGCTGCCATTAACCTTACAGGTGCTGCTACCCGTCATTTCCTTCTTCAATACTATGAGTGCGGGAAGGAGATTTAAGGACTTCAAACCAATCAGCTGTTCCGAAATCAAAAAATCCAACTACAAAACCACAACTTGAAGAAGAAAACAGCCAAAAGTAATACCAAAAACTGATCCCTTAGGGAGATTATTTTGTTTTGAAATTGATCAGGACCTGAATCTGCAGGGGAGTACATGATGAACTCCATCGAAAACAAAGGATCAGGAAAAGCTCTAGGTTTTATGAACACACCTCCGACTGGATTCCTGTATTCACCATTGCTCCACTCCTGTTCCACAAATGAGAAGCCATGCTCTTAAACATAGAGAATCAATAACTATAAACTTCAAACAGTATAAAAAAGTTTACCTTTAGTTGGTCGCCAATGGTGACAAGAATGGAACCAGCAGGCAAGCCAAAAGAAGCAGAAAGACCTGAAGATTGATTTTGGAACATCTGATGATCTAATATTGGTATGTGCATTCTCAGAAAGTGAGTTTTATCATCCCTGCCATGGCTGTGTTCGATCGCAATATCGTTGAGAAGATGAAAACTGTGTTTTTTAAGACACAGCACAGACTGCAACTTCGGTTGTCTGTGGCTGTGCGTTTTATCTTGAACAAGTTCACATAAAATGCAGGAGATGCAGTCTGCAACCATCTCCAGCTTAGCAGCCATTACCTCCATTCTTTCTCTGCAAAAACTCAGAAGCTTGTATTTAGCACTGCATACAAAAGCTCTGCTAAAGATTTCTCTAGTCAAGAAGAATGTTTTCTGTAATGTATAAACTACACAATAGTTAAAATAATTCATAACAGCGTTCATTACTGAAAAAAATTAACTCGTACGAAATTGCTGCAGGTCTAAACCGCTACTTCCGTTGTATATATCACTCAACTCCCATTCATTTACAAATTTAACACCAAAATTTGAATTTTTTGCATTTATACCACCTAAATCATTCATATCACATAAAAAAATACCACTTTTTTAACTTCCAAAAGGTGAAGTAAACCATTTGCGGCAGGCATAGATAAGGGGGCATATAAATGTAAAAAATTAAAATTTAGGTGTTAATATGTAAATAAATAGGAATTGAGTAGTATATGTATGTAAATCCCCACTCCCTTAAAAAAACGATTAACAAGGACACAAGGCCAGCAAGCCTTCTATTGGGCTTTCAGGGAATATAAAAGGACAGCATTCAATACAGCCCATCCACTCCTGCTCAATCACAACAAAGCCCATCAATGAAATAAAATCCAGTTTATTGTGGCGCGCCACTCATGCAATATACATGAAGATTAGTTTTATTAATTTAGATTTGAGGTTAACTTGAACGGCTAAACCATTAAGTAATAGAATAATTGTCTCTTCCATGTTTTTGCAATAAAAAAAAATGCAAAGTTTACATAAAAGTCCTAAGTTTATTTATTTTATATTTATTTTTTTTATATTTTGATATGAAATAAAATATGTTTGGCACCTTAAATATATACTTTTGTTCTTTATAAAAATAACTTTCTTATTATAAATAAAACACCATTTTTTCGTATAATTTTATGTTATTTTAACTCCAAACTAATATATAAATATTTTAATGATATCCATCAAAATTCCTTTATTTTATTATTAATCACTTGTCTTTATTATAATTTTATTCTGGCTATTTAATAGTCTTCACTTAAACCAAAATAGTACAATACAACTAATAATTCTATAACCCATTAGTACAAATCAATAGAGCTATGGTTTATTTGGAGAGAAAATATTACATCATGACTCCTAACGTAATTTATGTTTGGAGTCTAATGGTGGAGCGTCATGTGTCAAGTGGGTCACATCGCAATACAGTGATATTGACTGGTGTTAAAAACGGTGGAGCTCACTTGACACTTGGCTCTCCTCCATTAGACTTCGACTGCATTCGTAGTCCTGATGTGATATTTTTTAATGCTTGGGACAGTTTTTTTGTTTGTTTTACACCACATGAATTAATTACTTATTATTTTTTAAAAAATTTTATAATAAAAAGCTGTTTTTCAATCCGAGCTTTTAAAATGCGCGAGTAATCAAAAAAACCTCGGATCTGATTTTTTTGAAATAAAATAAAATTATCATGATCTATGTAACTTTATGAAAAACAGTTCTTGCAGCTGGCCTTAGAGATCATCTCCCTAGCACCACTTCCATACCTGAAAATCCGATACGTATCGGGCGACACGTCCTCCAAAACCATCTCCGTTTCCTTCCGCTTCCACTGATACCAACAAATCTCCTCCCCAATACCAAATCTCGACACCAATCCTCTCCTCTTCGCCGCCATCGAAGAAAAAACCACCGCTCCAGCCTCCACCACCGCATTCACCTCCTCACACCTCACCACATCCCCGCCGTTGATTCGAAAACCGCCGGTCTCCGCCGCAGCGGCGACCATACTCCGGACGGCGGCCGCATCGCCGGAAGCGAGATCTGATAGATCGATTTCAACCGTGATCTGGTTGGGGGAGAATGATCTGGAGGAGAAAAAAGCGTGGGGTAGGGCTAGGTGAGGGACCTTAATGGTGGTTTCGAGGTATTCGGAGAGGACTTCGTCGTGGAGGGCAGCGGAGCGGAGGCCTTTTCCGGTGGCGATTGGAGACGGCGGTGGCTGTCGCGAGGGTCGTTAATCGCCGGAGCGGAAGTTGGTTGGGGTCATTGGTGTGAAGGGATGGGGGAGGTCGAAAGGGTGGAGAGAGAGATGGGCTATTTATGGAAGCTGGAAATTGAAATCCGACGGTAGGCAATGAAGCTTTTGCTATTTTATGTATATTTTAATTTTTTTGAGGGAAATAATTTTTTTAATAACCACCGTCCATCACAGTAAAAATATATTACAGTGGATCCTATTTTGAATTTAAAAAAAAAAAATAATAATTGTGATGGACTGTGGTAGACGGTAGAGATCGAACACCGCATGCATGCTTTGGAATAATTTTTCTACTTGGAGATGATTTATTCTATAGAAATTTAGTGGGCTCTGTGTGACCCGTCCAATAACCAATTCTCATATGTATAGTTCATGATTGCAGGCTTTCGAGAGAGCTAATATTTTTTAAAAAAAATTAAATTTTATACTTTTGCAGGAATTTGAAAAATAAATGCAATTTATTAAATCATATAGTTTTCTTCAAAAAGTAGCCTTACCCCAATCTCTAATCATCTTGTGATATTAGGGTTTAAATTAACAGGTTTAAAGGTAAAAAAAAAAATCAGTTTTCAGCTAGGCCCATTAAATGGGCAGACCTAATTATATTATTGTAAATAGAAATCAGGCCCAAGCCCGACCCTAGCTTTCTTTTGACTGATCAAAATCCTTGCTTAACACCATTATTATATGAGGCGTTTACAAGCATACAGCCCAATTCTAATGTATTTATGTATCCAAAATCTTAACTTTGTATATTTATATCACTCAGATTTTTTAGATCACATTAAACATAACTTAATTTTAACTTGATAAAATTAAGCGAGTCACGACACAAGCATACCTTATTATCCATCTTTTTAAGTTATTAATTAAATTTATCATTTTATTAAACCCATGAGCACAAATTAATATGCTTCCGGTCAATGAATCAAATTCATGTTGATTCTGAACTGAAGCTATTGATGGCTCCTAATTAGACTTGGACTCACTTACATGTGAATGTAAGACTGTCAAAAATTGATCTGATAAGTCAACACGACTCCAATCCGACTCAAAAATTTTGGATAGAGTTGACCCGAATATTTTTCGAATAAAGTTCGTATCAGAAAGTTTGACACAAATTAAAAAAAAAAAAAAAAATCGAATCGAGTTCGAACCTGAAAACCCCGAAAATGACCCAATTAGTAAAGGATCGAGATTCGGGCTTCTCAAGTCACGAGTCACGCACTCGACGCACGCCTCAGGGCTGGGGGAGGGGTGTGTGCCCGCCCACATAACATTTCTTTAAATTAAAGCTATATTTGCACACAACTACTAAAACATTTAATATTTTTTATCATTTTATATAAAGAAAAAAGAGGAAAAAAAAAAAAACTGCATAAAAGAACAACACAATTCCAACACAAATGACACAAATGATAACTAAGAATCAGACAAATCCTCCATATGCTTAAAAATGATCATACATCCCCCGATGAGTTCCAAACCTATAACATAAAAACTAAAAACATTAAGTTTAGTCACCACCAACACCGGTGGGAAATAAAAAATAAAAAGATTCTACGTCTATCCTAACTTTACCATTAGCGATTGAGGTGTAGATTCTTATTCCAGTAAAATTAAATTAAAAATTTCAAACAAAAAATATTGAACGATGAAGAAGAAACAATCTCAGGCTAACTCTTCTTATCATGCTAGCAAAAATCAGCCCGAAAACGGGAGGAAATCCTCATCTTTCATTCGAAAATACTCTATTGAAGTTCTTGATATGTTAATGACATGATGAAAAGATAAATTTTCTGTATGAACTATCCTAAACGGAAGTCCTCGAGAGAAAACTTCACTCAGTTCAAAATATTAGCAACTATATATTTCTTAACAGGAATTTTGGCACAGTCAAAGATAAACACAATTAGATCCTGATGAGATATGAGAACCGTAATGATTTTTTACCTCTCCGTATTAGAATTGGTTGCTGGTCTCGCAGAACTTGATGCCGGGCTTTTAGTTCCAGAACTCTTGAGTCTGGGAAAGGGGAATATTTAACTTTTTTCAACGCTCTTTTGTAGGAGATTCTAATAAAACAGGATGAAGAGTACCAAATTGAACTATATCATAATTGAGTGGTTTGATTCCACTGGTATTAGGTGGTGCCTTAGAAGCATGTTGTGATGATGACTTGGGTGCATCCGACTGAGTTGGAAGCTTCACGAACCACCTCCCCCAAACACAATCGGCTCGTGATTTTCTTCCTCAGCTAAATTTGTGACTTGTGATTTGTCTGCTTGAAATTTGTTTGTCGCCGCCGGGTAAACAATTTCAAACGCTACATTCTTCTCTCTTCTTGGAGAATGACATCATTCGAAAGCATCATAATTCTACAGGGAATGTGAAAGAGATATAAGATTACTGAAATTCGCAGGGGGGAAACAGTATTATTTAGTTGGGGGCAGTTACATAGAAAGACACAATTTAAATATTTCACCATAAACTTTTTTTATTTACATACATATTGCTCAAATCTTTAATATCACATTAAAAATAGCACTATTATCACTTTTAATAAGTGAAATTTACCTTTTCCATGCATATAATTAAAACATCAAAGTGCTATGTATTTAAATATGAAATTTTAGATGTGAGATAGGTAAATTCATAAGATTTATGTGCTATGTAGGTAAATTTCCCTATTTAGTTATGTTAAATGAATGCTACTTAGCGTGGAGCAGCTCATTCAAAGGCATCTACATTCTACTAAATTAAATTTGTAGAAAACAAATAGGATATAACATATTGAGAATGAAAAAAAAAAAGTAAAATTTATATACGTAGCACACAATTCCTATGTATTTACATATCTCACACCTAAATTTTTATATTCACATACATTGCAGTTTTAAATCTATACATTAAAAGATGTATTTCACTTTTAAAAAGTGATAATAACTCTTTTTCTAATGTGATATTAAATATTTGAGTGTTATGAGTGTAAAAATGAAAGCTTACGTGTGAGATATGTAAATAGGAAGACCACTACTCAAACAAGCCCAAGGGGTGAAATATACCACGTTGGGAAAAAATACGCCAGTTCCCCTGGATTTGCGTGCCCCATCAATTTTATAACTACTGGCATAAGTTCAAGCATTTTGGCCACGGATGAAGTCTGAGTATGAGATTGCATGACCCATCGGAATGAAATGAGGGTTCGATGTCAGCTCATGACAATACACAGCATAACTAAGATTGTTTAACTGCCATTCATAATCCCCAGATGGATCTAAACGTTCATCAGATAAAAAATTTTTTTTGATAGGGTTTCCTTCGTTTCCTTCCAGACCATCATGGGAATGATGTTGCACTGAAATAACAATTTCCTTATCAGATGGGCCCAAGCTTGTTGAATTCCTTTGATCAAGCTTTAACTCCTCCCTAGTTTGACTTTCTGGATTGAAAAACAGGTGGGGTGCGTCATCAGGATTTCTAAAATCCAAAATATCGTCTTCCTTAGTTGATGACAATGTCTTGGGGCCTTCCTTCACGCTTTGCGGAACTGAGGTTTTTGAAGTGGCGAGATCTTTGGCATCGCCAGTTAGAGGTTCAGCGACCATGACTTCACGCTCATCCGAGCCTGAAATTGTGATGTTCTTCATTTCCTCGTTTAAATCTCTCTGAGCCGTAGAAGTTAGAGATTCTGAACGCAACCCATCTGCTTTCTCCTTTTCAAGCTTTAATACAGGCTGCATGAGTTCCGCCCCACTTGAGTCATTAGGAACCAAATCCTGCACATCAGGGCTTTCTGCACTTCCATGTCGAGCCATGTCGGTCAACTTTTCGATATATAGATTTTATTTGAAAAATATGGTATATGAAAATAATTTTTGAGATTTAATTTAAATATAAAAGATATATAGTTTGGGTTTTGAAAGCAGTATGTTTTAATTTTGAAAAATGAGACCAAATGGATCTCATTAGTCTGATAGTTTGCAAAATCGTGTCTGATACCGCAAATACTACACCTTCCCGAGAGATAAGTGTAGACCTCAGCGATAGACCCAATCCTGCAAACTAAGAGATTTGTGACATCCGTTTGGTCTGCGAACCTTTTATATATGACCGACAAATTCCCCTATTTAATACAAAGATTAAATAGGGTTTATTTTACCTGGGTTCCAAGTTCCCTATAGAGGCAAGCCCCTATAGTTAATTACATCCCAAATGACGGGAGTCACTTGAGAAAACTCTCGATAATGATCAATGGTTCTAGTCTTCAAGATTTCAAGGTTTAGGTTTTCAAGGTAGGA